TTTGAAAAATATGGAGAAGATTAAATTCTTAATGCTTCAAGTCTCACATTCCAGGGAAAACCTCAATAAACACAGTGTAATTCCTTTTGGCAGTTTTTTTACAAAACTGCAATCATTTATGTAGTTTTGGGAAACTTCTTTTCTCTGGAAATATACATGTGTATTATCCTCCTATGTTTTTAACACTTCTCTAAGACTACAATATGCATTGGTAATATTACATGTGACTTTATGTCTTTTCACTTGTTACACCATGGCCATCATATGCCACAATATCAGTATCTTAGGGGAAATAATATAGCAATTACTAAAGTATAATTTAATTTGAAATAAGAGACTGTGTGCAATGTCATTTATTTTTATATCTGATCCAGTTGTTGGAACTGTCCATTAAAATGTCAAATAATAATAATGCATTTTAATGGCTTTTAGGAAAATACTTCAAGCATCTCAACACTTGAAATTATATTGATCAACACTTTGAGACAGATGACTTTATCATCTTAATAATTTATCTTCCTCAGTCTAGATTCCCAAAAGTTTGTACCAAGAATGAATCCTGTATTCTATCAAATGCTCTTGCACATAGAGTTAGTGGCAGTGAATCTTATTTTTGTAACTAATTCACTTCATATATTGTCTTGACAATCTTTCAGGCATTAATGTGGAATTCCAAGCATTAATAAAAAATAAGTAATTTCACTTTATTGTGTAGTTGGATGCACCTTGTATGCTTTACATATACAGTCATAAATTGGATTGAACAAAACTTTATTGGCTCTCACACATTTGGGTAAAAAAGATATTTTAATTTCATAAAATAATTTGTAACAATTTTTCACATTAAAGTGTTAGATAGCATATAAATTATTTGTTTCTTAAAATCCCAATAGTTATTCTGCATCCAGTGTCCATTTGGAAAGTATTACATTGGAGCCCTGCTATATATCACAATATAAATGGCATGGTTTGTGTTGAATAAATAAGTAAATGAAGTATGCTATGAAAGTAGGAAGCAAAGGGTTGTGTGACATAGCAGGAGCATCACCCTCCCAATAGAATGTGACAAAGTTTCCTAGAAAAAAAACAACATCTGAATTGAAAGAAGTCCTTCCAGTTTAAGAAAACAGCATGTACAAAGGCAAAAAGAAAAAAGATTTTAGTGTTTCACGATGACAAAAAGACACTAGCGTGGTCATTGCAGAGCACTGGAAGTGTCACTAATGGTTTCAGAATTTCTACTTCAAAGGGACCAAAGAATGATTGCATGATTGGCTGGAGGTCTTTTAAGCTGTGTTGCATAGGCAGCACATAGTTTTTCCTCAGACTGTATTCCTCTGTTGGTGTGACTTTTATGAGGATGCTGATGAGGAATATTCCAGGGCAAACCCACCCAGTAATTCCTTACTGCACACCAAAATGGGAAGAGAAATATCAGAAATGAGAGGAGGAATGAAAACTGAGGGAGACAAGATAGACTTTTTGTGATGGATTAACTATATTTATGGAAACATGACTTTTTTGCTTTCTCTTAAAATCATCCTTAATTATGAAAAAATATGCACCTTGCCTGAAAGTTTTTGAACAGAGAAAAAGGAAACCACGTTTTCTTCATGCCTATTTTTCCAAGAACCCTACTCTAGAATACAAATGTTTAGTGAACTTTATTTAACTACTTTATTTTACTTTATTTGACTACTTTTCCTTCTTTTCTTCTTCTTCTCTTCCCTGTCCTCCCTCTCTTCTCCACAAATGTCTTACAATAAATTAAAACTACTATCTTAACTCTTTCCTTTGTGGAATAAGTCCCTGTGGCCAATGTGCCTAGACAGGAAAGGAAAGATAGGAAGAAGGGAATAGTTTTCAATATGCTGATACTAGCACTATCACGTTTTTTAGCCTTATCAAAAATCACTGTCCAAGGGATACTCTCCAAAAGGAAGACAAATGTAAAGGGGAAAAATGAAGATTAAATTATATTTCCCATCCTGTCTTGTCCCTGATAGGAAGACAGTCCTGTCATCTGTGACTCCCCAAGTAGTAAGTCCTTCGTCTATATCTTAAAGCTCTTGGGATACAAACAAGCCAAAGAAAACTATAGTTATGTGATATATATGATTCAAATGAATATTTTCATTCTATCACCACAACTCAGAGAACACAAGGTACAACAGTGAAGAAATAAAAAATAAAAGATGAGATCCTTTATATAATATGTTTGCATTCATGTTCAAGCATCTTAAAAGTAAGTATGAAATAATTGGAATACAACTAAGTTTCTAATTATATAGTTTAAAGTTATAAATAGACATAACTTCAGAAAATATGAGTTGGGAGGAAAAAGGTAGAAAAGGCCAAAACTTTGGCCAAATTATATTGCTATATTGTGTGCATGTCCAAATATCAACAAATCTCATCATTATGTATGACTATGATGCACCAATAAAAAATGTGAAAAAAGAAAAAATGTTAATTTGTGAAGCATAACTGGAAAGGACACAAAATTCAGAGAAGAAAAGGCCAAAATTAAGGTAACTGAAGTTCCGGAAGTGTTTACTGATTTTGAGAGGAAAGCCAAATGCTAACAATTCCAGGTTATGTGTTTGCTAGAGGCAAATAAGATGGTAAGGGTTCTCAGGCCATTATTCCTGATTATGCTAATCCTCATAATTGTGAAATTCCTTCCTACATGTGGAAAATTAAGGATGCTATGATCCAGCCTTCAGAGCTTTCTGTCATAACACTTAAGGTCAGAAATAAAACAAACTGTCTTGATTCCTATGTAAGTGTAACATGTAACATTTTATAAATAGTTTTCTGTTGCATAAAATCAGTATAGGAATCTGTGACATATAGTCTGGTCTGGTGGTTAAGAGGCTGACTCTAGAATCATGACTAAAATACTCAATTCTAGTTTGATCATCTATTATATCATGACCTTGTGAAAGTTACTGCAATTTTTGTGTCTTTGTTTGCTCCACAAAAATGGAGTTTAAAGTGGTATCTGTACTACAGAGTTGCCCTGACGTTTAAATCAGTTAACAAATCCAGTGAGTTACATTAATCTAATATACTTAGAGCAAACTCAATATAAAATAGTCAGTATTAGTTTAGTCATTTACAGAAGCTTCATGGCCAAAAATAAAAAATAGGAAGATCCATTGATGCATTACAAAGCATCAAATATAATAAATGAAATAATAGACATATTAATATTATTTTGTGCAATGATAGGAATAGGCCTAGAAAACATAAAATATACACCTAAAAGGCAAGTGGTAGAGAAAAAGGAACGGAGATTTTAGATTGACTGGAAATGTATACAAGTAAGAAGGAAAGGTAATGTTTGGTACTTAAATTGAAGAACGGTCCAATAAATAAATAAATAAATAAATAAA